TTAAATTTATTATCCTCTCGTATATTATTATACATTTAGCGTAATTTTAGTTTAATTTAAAATTAGAATACAAATATACTATACTAATATACCATTATATTATTTTCATTGTATATAAATTACAAAATTAATAATTTGTATACTATACTATACTATCATATTATTTGTATACTATACTCATAGTATAATATACTATATTATAATATTATTTGTATACAAAACTAATATCTTTATATATAAATATATAAATATGGAAAGATATAAATATATGTGAAAATATAAACATATAAATATATATAAATATGTAAAGATATAAACATATATCTTTAATATTTTGTACATGTAAATATAATTTATATATATTTTTAAATCTTTTTCTAATATTTATTTTTAAAAATATAATATTATTTTTAAAATTTAATATTTTTTTTCAAATATATAAATATATATAAAGATATAAATGTATAAGGATATAAATAAATATATCAATATATAAATATATCAAAATATTAATATATAAATATATTAATATATAAATATATCAATATATAAATATATAAATATATAAATATATAAATATATATATATATATATATATATATATATATATATATATATATATACAAATATATCAATATATCAATATTATCCCCTCATATATTAATATACATTATTAGCATAATTTTAATTTAATTAAAAATTAGAATACAAATATACTATCCTATACTAATATACCATTATATTATTTTCATTGTATATAAATTACAAAATTAATAATTTGTATACTATACTATACTAATATATTATTTGTATACTATACTAATAGTATAATATACTATATTATAATATTATTTATATAGAAAACTAATATCTTTATATATAAATATGAAAAGATATAAATATATGTAAAAATATGAAGATATAAATATATAAAAATATAAATATATGTAAAAATATAAAGATATAAAGATATAAATATATCAATATATAAATATATCAATATTTAAATATATATTAAAATATATAAATATATTTTTATTTATAGATTTTATATTTATATATTTATACGGATATACATTTATTTGTATATAAATATAATTTATTTGTAAGTTATTATTAAAAGATCCTAGTAGCTCGGTGGTTGGAGTTTCGGTCTCCAACTCTAAGGTATCGGGTTCGAATCCTGACAAAGACAATAAATCACCTAATAATAAGTTAAACTTCTAAAAAATATAATATAATTAAGAGATAGGAGAAATAAATATAAATAAACTTAAATAAGCAAAAATATAATATAATTAAGAGGTAGGGAAAATAAATAATAAATATAATAAAAATGTAAATAAATAAAAATAATTAAATTTGTTATTGATTTAGCGATCGATTTAAATCGATTCGCTATTTTTTTAACTTTTTCATTGATTTAGTGACCGATTTAAATCGGTCTCTATTTTTTACCTTTGTCATTAATTTAGCGACCGATTTAAATCGGTCGCTATTTAGCCACTAGATTTTGAGTTCGGTCGCTAAATAGCGACCGAATTAATTCGATCGCTATTTAGCGACCGAATTAGCGACCAATTTGATATATTAATTTCGGTCGCTATTTTGCGACCGAAATGAAAATCGGTCAGCTAACACATTAGCGACTAGGCTTTTTGTGACTACACATTTCGGTCAGCTAATTTCGGTCGCTAACCGATTAGCGACCGATTATTGGGCATTAGCGACCGATTTTTTCGGTGGCTAAAATGCTTTTTCTTGTAGTGTGAGTTTCTGATTATAAACTATGAAGTAAGAACAAATCTAAAGATAAAATATTATTTTATATTTTATAATCATGGTACACTTGTATAAATTATTTGGATTTCACATTCTTTCATTTATTATACTAAGATAGTATAACATCCAAATAATTACTTATCTAATATATTTTTATTTTTTAATGTTTGTAGAAAAGTTATAAAATTTAATTTTAAATATTTAGAAATATTATTTTTATAAAATAAATATATTTTATTTAGTTTAGATAAAAGATTTAAGATATAAATTATCTCGCATCTTTAGAATTAAAAAGATATTGCATAACAAATAATTTTTTAATAAATTTTTATTTTTAATATTTATAAAAAAGTTTAAAATCTAATTTTAAATGTTTTAATTAAAACTAAAACATTATCAAATAAGTTATTTTAAGATATATTGAACAAATTATACTTTACATATTTTAACATAATAATAATAATAATAATAATAATAATAATAATAATTATTATTATTATTATTATTATTATTATTATTATTAAAACAACATGAAATATTTGTTATTTATTATTCATTGTTCATAATCTTATTTAGTATTAATATGTTTGTATTAACTTTTTATATTATTATTAAAATAGAGAAAAAAATGAATAACAAGATAAACTCACCCAACATATTCTTAGAGAAAATTGAAATAAAGAAAAAAATTAAATAATAATTAAAGGTTTAAATTATAATAATCAAGTTTAGCCCAAATACAAAACTATGTAGAATATATGAATAAAATCTAAACGAAAGAGAGATAAAGTCATATTTTCTCAAAAATAATACAGAAAAAAAAAATACTATCTTAGTGTAATAAATAAATAAAAAAGAAAATCCTAAAAAATTTAATTTTTCCACAAGGATAATATTTTTTGGTATGTGACCATAATGAAAATTATATCATCAAGAGATTCTTTAATTATTCTTTGTGCAACAAATATTAAACCTCTAAAAGGTTAAAAAATAGTATTTTGATAGGGTTTGATGGTTTAAAGATATATTAATTTTATGTTGATATGAAACTTATTTGTGGTAAGGAAAACTTTAATACAGGGATAATGACACGTATAAGCGTATATAAAATTTAACTATAAATTTATAGACTATTATTTGAAAATATTTTTAAATTAAAGTGTAGCTTCAGCTTTGCTCTTGTCTATGAATTTTTTTTTTCTTTTCTTCATACAATATCTCCATTTTCTTCTGTTATTAGTTTATTTCTTTCTTTTTACTCTCTTCTCAATTTTTTTTACTTTTCCATTCTTCTTCTCAACTCTTTTTTATTTCTCTGTTTAGTATCTTTTTCTCTCAATTTCTAGTTTTCTTTCTACACTATTTTTTTTTTCTATCCCCTTATGAATAAAGATAAGTATGATTAATTGGAGAAATTCCTTTATAATTGTTTGGACAAGTAATATGTATAGACTTGTTTGAACAAGTAATATGTATAGAGTTGGGCACGGTTTAGGAGTGTAGGGAATTGAATAATTCATGCTAGCTCAAACCTATGATTCTTTTTAGAAATATCTTTACAGGACCCTTTTGCCCCCTTAAAACCAGTTTTAAACTGAAAAAGTATTGACTAGTGTAAAACTATGTATATGGCTTAATATTTGTAGTAACTATAAAAATGAATGCTAATAACAATTTTTGTGCTATATAATGACTAACAGCAGTGAAGTTTAAATCTAAAATATGATGTTAACTAATCCAAATTCCATTATTAGGTTGATTCTATGTAATTGTTTTTGCCTTCCTTGTAAGTTACATTTAGCATTATACTTTATATGCGATAATAAACAAAATATTGTCATCGTATAGCTCTTAATATGAATTTTAATTTGTAAAAGTAAATAAGTAACCCTTGTAAATTGTAAATTGTAAATTCTTAATTAATAGCACAATTATAGTAATGGAATAAAGATGATGACTGATTAAGATGTTCCAATAATAGAAGAGATGGCAGAATTCAAGTAAAAATTTGTGAACTACTTCCCTCCAACCAAAATAGCAAATCAGTTAAGAAGTTGCACGTGATTGAAGAGAAGATAACATGGCAACAACATAACTCCGACATGGTGTTTTTTATTTTTTTGGTTTTTCCCCCCACTGATTTGCTTTGTTATTCTTCCTTAACATCATTAATGGATTGATCAAAAGGATAATATTGGCGAGAAATATGTCAATAATTTTTCAAACGGAAAGAGCGAAGAAGAAGAAAGCAAAAGTTGGATCACAGAAAATGTAATTTGATATTACGAGGGTTTAAGATAGAAGTGACATACATATGGCAGAAATTGAAAAACGCTATGTAGACTATCAACTTATTGTAGATAATCCAAACCCTAATTGGAAAAGTGAAAACATATTACGATTCTTTCTCCCACAATTTACCCTCCTATTGCTTTGCAGTGTCTCTCTCACCCGTCTTATACACTACATCTTACGACCTTTCAATCAACCACATTTTGTTGCTGAATTTCTTGTAAGTGCACTCATTTCTCTCTTTTATTGTGAAATACTATGACGTTAATTGTTTTCATGAAAACTGTAAATTACCAACCACGTTAATTGTAATTGATTCTACACATGAAATTTTACGCACAGATTAATATCATCCCCTCTTTCATTTTGTTTTAGTTATATGCATGCATTTACATACATGTTTCGGTGTACTTACATGCAAATCAGAGGACGCTAGCAGAAAGTTTCTATGAAAACTTGTACGAAATATATTTCGTGCAAAACCATTTGGAATGTATTAAGTAAATTTACATTCAAAACTGTGTATGAAGGAAGGCTTGTTAACCATAAAAGCTCTCCAAAATCAATCTTTTAAGCACTTATCTTTGTTAAAACTTTTTGGATGTCACAAAATTATACTACTCATATATTTCTTATTTAATAATCATCATTAGTAATTTTCATCAGTTTTAACTGATAATAACATATATGTTCGAAGAAGTGTGTTTTGACAACTTTTCTGCATCTAAAAATTGGTTACATGACTGTCTTTTTTCCAGTTCTTTTAATTCTTTTCAATAGTTAACCTGAGGGTATCCTAAAATTATTATTTTTTATATCCTTTGTTGGCAATGTAGGCAGGTTTACTGCTATGTCCACAAATAGTGGCAGGAACAGTAGTGTTTATATATGTGACACCTCCAAAAGCACTTCTTGGTATAGAGACCATGGCACATGTAGGTCTGATCTACAATGTCTTCCTAACTGGCTTGGAGATGAACCTAGACACTGTCCGACTAGCAAAAAGAAAGGCCACAACCATTGCTATAGCTGGCACCATCATTCCAATGTTGTTAGGGGCTGCGATATATTCTATGGCCCATGCTCTTTATAGGGGTCCTAACCTTGACATGTCACTTTACAACACATCTAGTGCATATTTATTCTGGGCTTTGGTTCTCAGTGTCACAAACTTCCCTGTCCTCGCTCACATTCTTACTGATCTTAAGATCCTCTACACAGGGCTAGGTAGATTGGCTCTAACTGCAGCCACAATAAATGACTTCTACAATTGGGCAATGTTTGTGTTGCTAATTCCATTTGCCACTCGCAATGAAAGACCCTTTCTGTCAGTGATATTGACCATCTTCTTTGTGCTTTTCTGCTATTTCGTGTTGCGTCCTTTCCTTACCAAGTTGCTGAATGAGAAAACAGAAAACAATGAGTGGGACAATTACCAGTTATCCTATGTGCTAGTAGGTGTTTTGGCTAGTGCACATGTTACTGAAATGCTTGGCACACACTCCATTGTTGGGGCATTGGTGTATGGATTGATGCTTCCTCGTGGAAAATTTTCTGACATTTTGATGGAAAGGTCCAATGATTTTGTCTCCATGTACCTGGCACCATTGTTCTTTGTTGGCTGTGGCGTAAGATTCGACTTTTGTAGTTTTGAACTGCAGAAAGTGTTTAACGTGATCATAATCATTGTCTTGTCATGCTGCACCAAGATCATAAGCACCGTGATAACCACAGTGTTCTATAATATGCCTTTTCGAGACGGCGTGGCACTTGGAGCGCTTTTGAACACCAAAGGCATCTTGCCAGTAGTAATGCTAAACATTGCAAGTGACAGAAAGGTATCATTGAATTGACATAATTGAACAGTTACAGTATATGTGTATGTTATTTCTAGCCATATATTGTTACTCTTTCATTTATCATACATTAATTTCTACATAGAAATCATGGTACAATTTTAAGTTTTCTTTGTAAGTAAATCACTTTTGGGTTAGCATGTTAGTGTGCACATATGATAAGATGAATATAAGAATATGACCAAAACATGATAAGAAAAGCAAGAAATCCATTGTATGATTAGTATATTGAATGTGATACATAATACCCAATAAAACATGTCTTTTAAGTTTCAATCAAACCTTTATACATTATAGTTTGTGACTGAAAGATATATCCGGCACTGCATATTCTACTTTTTTAGTGAATAACTTTATATCTAATTTTTTTTCAGATTTTGGGTAGAGATTTCTATACAATTATGATGGTGGCTTGTGTTCTGATGACCATACTAGTTTCTCCTACAATCAACTACATATACAAGCCAAGAAAACAGTTTAAGAAAGACAAGCTAAGGACTGTACAGAACTTGAAGGCTGATGCAGAGATCCGAATAACGGTCTGTGTCCACAATCCTCGCCAAGCCACAGGAATGATGAGCATCCTTGAAGCATGCAGTGCCGCCAATGTCACCCCTTTACGTGTGTTTGTTCTTCAACTCATTGAGCTCAAAGGACGCGGTACTGCCTTTCTGGTAGACCAGGGCGGTTCCCACCAAACACAAGTAGACACTGAGAGCATTGCAAATATCTTCTTAGAATTCAGACCAGAACAAGGGAATACTCACGCGAGCGTGGAGATTCTCGCTGCAGTGTCCCCCTATGAGACCATTCACAAGGACGTTTACAACATAGCTGATGAGAAACAAACGTCCTTGATTCTTCTTCCATTCCACAAACATTCAAGCGAGGGTGCCCTAGAGGAGACCAACTCCGTGTTCAAAGAGATAAACCAAAATGTGATGCACTATGCGCCATGTTCTGTGGGAATCTTGGTTGACCGTGGACACGGTTCACTGTCCAAGATGAACTTGCGTGTTGCCATTCTCTTCATTGGAGGGCCTGATGACCGTGAAGCCTTGGCTATTGCTTGGAGAATGGCAAGGCATCAAGGGATCCATCTCTGCATGGTGCACATTCTTTTGTTTGGAAAGGCTGCTGAAGTGGATGCAAGTGCAACAGCCAATGATCCAGCAAATGGGATATTGTCCACTATATTAGACAGCGGAAAGGAAAAGAAGTTGGATGAGGAATATGTGAGTTTGTTTCGACTCCTGGCAGTGAACAATGAGGATTCTATAACATATTTAGAGAAGGAAGTGCACAATGCTGATGATATTCCCTTGGTTCTCAATGAATTGGATACAGAGGGCTATGATCTGTTCGTTCTAGGGCATGGAATTGGAAGGAACTCTATGATGTTGTCAAATTTATTGGAATGGACAGATTGCCCTGAACTTGGGGTCATAGGGGACATGCTTGCATCAAATTCTTTTGGTTCATGTTCTTCAGTGCTTGTGGTGCAACAATATGGCTTTGGAGGAATGAACTTCAGGACTTGTAACCAAACCACATGTGCAAGCAAAGGGGATGTTGAATCGCTTTTTGGGAAGGGCAGGTAGCATCAATGTTGGTGATTGGAGAAGTGAGATAACGTGGATACGAGTTTTGAAATTAAATGGAATGGATTAACTAGTAAGTAACAAAGAGGGTCATGCAGCATGAGCTATAAAGAAAGAAATTAAGTTGAAACGAGGGGGGGTTTCTCGTGCTAGCTGCCTCATTGAGACGAAAATCTTCATCTCAATCCATGAAACAATTATCATGAGGAGGAATCTGTGGATAGTTGTACTTGTAGTTGTAAACACACAAAATTCTAGACCTACATGAAGCATCACTTTCAACTCATTTCATGCCATATGATCAATGGCAAAATCTTTTCAAAATTGATGTAAATCAAATAGTTATATTTTTGGGTAAAATTTAGTATTTGTTCTTTGATATTTAAAGTATTAAATATAGTTTTATTTTGATAATTTATCATCTTTGTGCTAGACTTGTGTTTGGAGCGAAGAATGCATTTAAAGTATTAGAAAAGAATAGAAAATTAGTGAAAAATAGTGAAAAGTTAAATTGTTTAGCTTGAGGGAAAAAGAGGTAAAAATGGTGAGAAATAAGTAAAAATATTTTAGGTTATAAGATTGATTTTGATTTGATTTATTAAAATAAATTAGTGAATGACTAAAATATATTTATTGTAAATTTTAATAAGAAGAAATATAAATTAAAATTAAGATATGATTTAACATAAAATAACTAATTAAGAAAATAGATAAAAATAAATAAAAAGTAAGATTAATTTATATATAGATTAAAAATAAATTTGACATATTTTGTAGACATGTTTATATTTTATAATTTATTTTTATAATAATTTATAATTAATATAAAAATTGTAGAATTTATTTAATAAACAACTAAAGTATAATTTTTATATATATTAAATTGAAAGCTAGAAAATATGGTTAATTGAATTATGATAAAATAAAATATAAATTATTAAACATATCAGTTTTTATTTTATATTTTAATTTAATAATTTTTTATAAAATCACAATGCTGATAAATATTTAGAAGACTAAATTTATATACTATACTTTTTTTAAAATAAGAAAATAATTTTAAGTTATATTAATTTTAATGTAATTAGTATTGAATTAACATTTATTATACTATTATAGACGGTAAAATATCACACAAAACTCCTAAAATTGTAATTAATAATTATGAATTTATATACTTTTTGTTAATTTCTATATTTTCAAATCAACAAATAAAAACGGTATGAATTAACTAATTTGATATAAGATAATATTTATAATTATTTTGTGTATTAATAAATGTTAACTTAAAAAATAATTTTATTTTTTAAATAAATAAATTTATCTAAAAAGGTTAAATATAATATAAATATGAATATTTTTAATTTTATAGTAAATTTAACATATAAATTTTAAATAGTCTATTACGAGTAATTAATAATTTTGACAAACAAATGGGAAGCACGTACAAAATATTGAACAATATATCATAGTAATTTATTGAATTATAGTCATTAAAAAAAACTTAAATAAAAAAATATATATAGAAACAACATACACTACTAGAAAAATGTCAAATAGTAGCTAGAAATCGATTGATCGAAAAATTTAGTTACTATCAGTGACCGAATCAGTAACCAAATTATTATTTTTTAGTCTAGTAATCAGAAATAGTAACCGAATTTTCGGTCACATAAAATCGGTTACTATTTCAGTCACTTTATTATTTAATTTATTTTTTTAATTAATCTATATTTAATTTATGTAATTATTAATTTTTTTTATATTTAGTAAGCTGATTTAGTGACTAAAATTTCAGTCACTAAAAAAATAATTTTTATTTTTCATTTATATAAATATTTTATTTAAAATATTTTAAATATAAATTTACTTAATAATTTAAAATAATTGATAACATTTTTAATAACATTATAAATATTTTAAAAAAATTGTTTACTAACTTATTAAATAATTTAGTAATATAATTATTTGATTTTATTTTTTTATTTAGCATGTGAATAAAAAAATTAAAATTGATTATTAAATTAGTCACAGAATCGGTCATCGATTCGATTCTCGAATCGATCACTAATTCGGTCACTGATTCGATCATAGAATCGGTCACTAGAATCGATCATCGATTCAGTCATCGATTCGGTCACTAGAATCGGTCAGCTGATCGGTCATCGAATCGGTCACTAAATCAATAATTAAATTAATTATTAATTTAGTCTTTATATATATATATATATATATATATATATATCACTTGTATGTTAATAAAAATGTATTTCAATGTATTTATAAAAAATTAAAATTATTTTAATTACTTGAATTGATATTTTAAATTTATATTAATATCTTGAATAATTTAATAGTTGGATATATATATATATATATATATATATATATATATATATCACTTTAATTTTTTTAATTAAAATTAATTTCATAAAAAATTAATATTTGAAAATTAAAATGCAATATATATATATATATATATATAAATTTATTTATTTTTTAAAGATGATATATTCAATGTATGTTAAAAAAGTTCAAGCCAAACTTGTTTTTATAGAAGATTTTCAAAGCTATTTGGTTTAATTAATCTGTTAAAAGATTCTTTTAATCTGTTAAAAGTGCAGTTTTAATCTGTTAAAACTTCTTTTAATCCACTAATACGTTCTTGATTCTTTAACTGATTTGTTTTAACCGATACGACAACGTTTATATCAATTAAAACACTTTACAAAAAATCTTCTAAGTTGATTTAATCGATTGTTTCAGCGATTCAATCGATTGAAATCTTGCAAAACTTTCTCCTAAAACTTTTCAAGTTATTTTAAGCTGATAAAAATAAGTTTTAATCGATTAAAACAGTTGTCTGAAGCTGTTTTAATCGATTGAAACGAGATTTAATCGATTAAAATAGTTATGATCAGTCATAAATGCATTCGACCGATCATAATTGAAACCATATAATAGCGGTTCAAGGGTTAACCGCTATCTAAGTCATATTTTAAGAGCGGTTCCTGTGTAACCGCTATCTAAACCTTATCTCGCTTGAGCGACAACATTCTCGCTCGAGCGAAACGCCCCTGCACAAAATTAGTACTCTCGGGTTGTATTTCAGCTGAGCGAGCCTATCTCGCTCGAGCGATAGTTGATTCTGATCGATTATATTTTCGAAATGATCGATCATATTTGATAATTTTTTCAAATAATTAATTATAATCGATTAGTTTTCTAAATTATTGATTAGAATTGATTAGTTTTTCAAATAATAGATTAGAAATGATTAATTTCGAAATATATACTAAAAAAATATAATTAAAACTATAAATTAGTTAAGAATATTGACTATTGTAAAGATAAAGTAGAAACATGGGAGGAGATGAGGATGATAATATAATGATAGAACTTACAAAAATGTAGAATTGAGAAGTTTGAAACAAATAAAAATAAGAAAATAGATATTTAATTACACTTTTAATAAATTTAAGATAATACTAGTTTTGATTTTTATTTTTAAATATTTATTTTAAATATTTAAAACAGAGAAACTATAATTTTAGTTTCTAGCTACTTGAATTTAAAGAATTAAATTTATTATTATTTAATCTTTTAATTTGTAGAATTAAACTCAATATAATTGTTAAAAATACTTTGTAGAGGCATTTGAGAAAGCTTTTGTCAAAATACTTTGTTTTTAATTGTTAAAAACATTTGTAGAGGCAATTTGCAAAACATAATTGAGATGATATGATAGCGGTTCCACCTTAACCGCTATCTAAAGTATAATTAAGATAGCGGTTAATGGTTAACTTGCTATTAGAAGTGCGATTTTAAGAGCGGTTCCTGTGGAACCGCTATCTAAAATGTATTTCGCTTGAGCGACAATATTCTCGCTCGAGCGAAACTCCAACTGCACGAATTCGCATTCTCGGGTTGTATTTCGCTTGAGCGACACTACTCTCGCTCGAGCGAAATACGATCCTGATCGATCATAACTTGAAATGACTGATCATAATTGAGAGGATATAATAGCGGTTCCCTCATAACCGCTATTTAAAGTGCATATTAGATATCTGAGGTGTATTTCGCTTGAGCGAGACTACTCTCGCTCAAGCGAAATCCGATTCTGATCGATTATATTTTCAAAATGACCAGATCATATTTGATAATTTTTTCAAATAATTAATTATAATCGATTAGTTTTCTAAATTATTGATTAGAATTGATTAGTTTTTCAAATAATAGATTAGAATTGATTAATTTCTGAAATATATACTAAAAAATTATAATTAAAACTATAAATTAGTTAAGAATATTGACTATTGTAAAGATAAAGTAGAACATGGGAGGAGATGAGGATGATAATATAATGATAGAACTTACAAAAATGTAGAATTGAGAAGTTTGAAACAAATAAAATTAAGAAAATAGAGATTTAATTACACTTTTAATAAATTTAAGATAATACTAGTTTTGATTTTTATTTTTAAATATTTATTTTAATTATTTCAAACGAGAGAAACTATAATTTTAGTTTCTAGATACTTGAATTTAAAGAATTAAATTTATTATTATTTAATCTTTTAATTTTAGTATTAAAATTTTAAATTATATTTTATTAAATTAAAATAATTACAATATATTTTTCTCCTTTGAGAATGAACAATATAATTAAACTCAAAATTGACAATATTATAATACATTTTTGAACTCTTTAGGATTAATTTCTTTTTCCTAATTTTTTATAAAGTTAATTTTAATATTTAAAAGTATTTAACATTTTAAATTCTGAAAGGTTTTCTCTAATAGAAAATTTAAAAACATAATATAAAAAAATAGTTAATGTAAGTTTTAATTATGATCGGTCATAACTGCATTCGACCGATCATAATTGAAACCATATAATAGCGGTTTCAGTTTAACCGCTATCTAAGTGAGCTTTTAAGAGCGGTTCCCCTTCTAACCGCTATCTAAAATGTATTTCGCTTGAGCGAAAAATTCTAGCT